GTGAAATGGTATTAGAATGACAGTGTGTTGTGTGAAATGGTATAAGGTTGACAGTGTGTTATCGCAACAGCATTTGGTGCGAACTTGTGTAAGTTAATAGTGAGACAGCCTGTTTTGTGACTTTGTGTTAGCGTGACAGTGTATTGTGTAAACTCGTGTTAGCGTGACAGTGTATTGTGTAAACGCGTGTTAGTGAGACTGCGTGTTGTGTAAACTCATGTTAGCGTGACAGTGTGTTGTGTGAATTCATCTAAGCGTGACAGTGTGTTGCGTGTACTTGTGTTAGCTCATAAGACAGTGTGTTGTATGAACTCGTATTAGCGAGACTGCGTGTTGTGTAAAACTTGTGTTAGCGAGACAGCGTGTTGTGTGAACTTGTGTCAGCGAGACAGTGTGTTTGTGAAATCGTGTTAGCATGATAGTGTGTTGTGTGAACTCGTGTTAGCCTGATATTTTGTTGTGTGAAATTGTATTAGCGTGACAGTGTGTTGTGTGTTAGTGTGACAGCGTGTGGTGCGAACTTGTGTTAGTGCGAAAGTGTTTTTCAGTGTTGTGTTGGCGAGCTGTGTGATAGCCTAATGGCGTCTTTTGTGTCGGTAAGATGGCACGCTTTTATGAAAGTGCTATTGAGCTTTAGCAAGTGGCCCTATCTGGACACGCCTTATTATAATTGATCAGTTCTCAGATATACAGTGAATTACCGGTATTATTGTCACCATGAAATCAGCATTTACAGTTGCAATTACCTAGTTAGAAATCATAAGATATTGGTTTGTCAATTTTAAAATTATGGTGTTCCAATGATGTGAAGTTGCATTGTCTTAGCATGTTAATTTCAACAGACTGCCACTCCAATGCAGCTTTAAACAACACGCTGCTGTGTTAACACAAAACAAAATATCATGCAAACACAACTTTAAACAATCTGTTGAGTGTTAGCTTCATGCACTGCATGTTGGATTCAGTGTGCTGGCATATTATCACTGACGTACATGCTAGCACATTGTCACCTCGTGCTAGTATGTTGTCATAAATACTCTAGCATATTATCCTAAACCCACTAGTGCATGATTACTTTGCACTTGTATGTTGTCTTATTAGGGAATAGCATAAATGACTGCCTTAATTGGTGTAAACTTCTTTTAATTGATGAAAGAGTACATTAAAATTTACAAATTATACACAGAAAATGTGACAATATCTTATCTCTCAATTTGATAATCTAATTTATAATCTCATGAATTGCACTTTTTATTAGTAAAAGAATTATAAATTAAAAAATTTCAATTTCTTTTGGATAGGTGTGACTCATCTGAAGACTGAATTTTGATACCAAGCATGACCATGATTTACCAGAAGATCATCTGTTTGGATGTGACATGGAATAAACAGCATAGTGAAATTAAGTCAAGTTTTGGTTTGTGAATACAATTTTTAAACACACTGTGTATCATTTTTAAATTTTGATTTGACAACATAAATCCACAAATATGAACATATCAATTGCTCTCAGTTTTTCAAGTGAAATAGTTTTTGTAACAGAAATACATGTACCAGTAATTACATTGGAATAAATGTTATTTTTAAATATAATAATATTTTGTTTGTGTAGCATGTTGACCTCTTTATTAAGGTATTCCCTTTCAAAGTTTAGACTTACTTATTCTAATGATTAAGATAGATCCTCTGTCTTCAGCAGGAATAGAAGATCTTGTAATACATGTATGTGTATTTTTTACAGTATAATGTAAAAAAAATTGTTATTTTGGCACATACAACTAATTAAAGGCATAAACATGTGTATGATTCCAAGGAATTCAGTACATAGGGCATGTACATGTAGTTTTCTAAAACAAGATTGAAGAGATGTCCAGTCGCATTTCAATGTCAACTGCAAAACTGTGCCTGTTGCATACTTATTAGCCCATCTGAGCTAAAGGAACCAGTAAATTTTTTAAAAACATAATTTTATCCATTATCATCATTGTCTAAAATTTCACAATATCATTTTCCAGAACCAAAGTGAAACTTGGCACAGAGCATCCTTAGTGTAGGGGATTCAATTTGTTCTTATGCAGGGCAATACCTTCAAAGAGATTTGTTTCTTTAATGCTGTAAATGTATTATATTTAGCTTGTACAATATTTGGTGGAAATTGACTTTTGAATAAGTTAGCGTAGATATTCTTATTAATGTTTATTTACAAGACTTTTAGCTTTGTACTTGATTTAGTGATTGCTGCATTCCGCCAAAGCCGCTTAAAAAGAATACACAGCCACATGTAATATGTTTACAATATACCTTTCAGAGAATTTTACACTCCTATTGAGGTACCCCAGTTGCTAATGGAAAGCTGCAAATTCGAAACATACTCAACACATTTCTGTGCGTTTATTATAAAAGTATTGTTCTACTTACTGATTGCAACTAATGAAGATTGTTCATCATTATTGTAAATACATTTGGATTTTTTGAATTATTATATAATTTGTTTATTTTATTTACCTAGTTTTATTGTATATTAAATGATTTTAAAGCCATTTTTAAGATGGTAATGTAGCAAAACACTTATGTTTCTGTAGTATGACACGTTTCACAAACATAATTGCAACAAACATGATATATCCGATATCAAAAGTCATAATATTGGAAGTTAAACTGTTGTGGATACGATTTCAAGAATGCTGTTAGAGAGAGTACCCTTTAGACCTCATGCTCACACCAAATTAAAGAATTAAAGTAAGGGTTTCTGAGACAAATCGAAAAAGAGAATGTTAGCAAAGTTGACAATCTAGACAGAAACATTTAATCTTTTGCTTATCACTAGGAAGGAAGACCCACTCGTTGCTTTGCAACGAGCTTTGCTCTAGTTATTATTATTATTATTTTTCTGACACGATATCTCGACAACTACTGGATAGAATTACATGAAATTTTCAGGAAAGATGTGTTGTAAGATACTCTTGAAAGTTCAAAGACAGTTTTTGGAAATTCCTCTCTGGTGCCAAGTTTTGGACCATTTTCCTGATTTTAAAATGACATTTTGTCTACGATTAAACTCAAAAACGGTAAAAGATTTCAATGTGAGACTTTCAGAGTTTATAGATGATGATCAATACTTTCCAGGACGCAACTTTTCGTTCGTCGTCAGTACTTCCTGTCGCTACCGGAAGCCAATTCAAAAAGTCCAAATTTTCAACCTTCTTAAGTTTGTTTTTCAATATTTTTCATTTATTTTTGGAATATTAATAGAGACACTTCTATTGATGCTTACTATATAAGTTGTTTTAATATTGGTTAATCTGAACTCTAGATATTAATATTTGAAAATCTGAAGCGGGCCCAAGATGGCGTCTGTCTCTGTCAACTCCGACATTTCGCGAGTAGGGGCATATGGAGGCAGCTGAGCGTTTGATTAAACCATTCTGACATAAGGATACTAGAATACAAAAAACTACTTGGACTCTCACGTAGTAGAACGTTGCAATTCAGTGTCAATCTTAAAAAAAACTTAATTTACGTCTCACTGCTTTAGTGTTACTGGGCTAGATACGATATGTAATGTGTACAATGTGTTAAATATACTTTCCTTTCCTTTCCTAACGCCGAAATAAAATAAAGGTGACAAGAATGTTTTATTTAATTAATTTCATTGAAGCTATTGCACCTCTTTAATAGATCAGTACAAAGAAAAGGTGCGAATATTTATGCGTGGCGTTTGACACGAAATTATGAGGTGTCCCGCCTTTTATGATTCTTAGACAGGTGTACTGTTGCAAAAGTATACACAAGTATATTTAAAGCAGTATTCCCAATACTGTAGCTAAATGGTTAGCGCGTTGGGGAAAAAAGAAAAAAAAAATGCGCATTTACGTTGGCGACCTGGATTCACCCCTCCTTGTGATCAAAATTTTTAATCACTTTTTAGTTTGATTTTACAAGTTTTTTTCCTGAATCTGACGGAAGACCTCTCGTTGCTCGCAACGAGATCGCAACGAGATCGTATCTAGTTATTCTTTTTTTTTTCCCGCTCGACTTTTGACAGGCGATTTCTCAAAGACCTTTGGACTGATCGTTATGAAACTTTCAGGATAGATAGCTTGTAGTTAAACCTATTTAAACCTGTTTTCAGTTTTTTTATGCATGCCTTTATTTGTGAGTTATTGCCCTTTAATTGAAAATTTTTGATGTCTCGTTTCCACTGAAAATCTCAAAAATGACATAAGATATTTACACGAAAGTTGGAGAACTTGTAGCCAATACATTGTAGATGTGCACAACGATAAGATTATATAGCTGATTTCTTAAAGTTTGGAAGCTATAAAACGGCAAATTTTAGTAATTTTTTTTCTTTGAATTTTTGCTACTTTTTGTGTAATAACTTTTAAACCGAGAATAATTTGGTAAGAAATATATTACAAAAGTTGTGGGTAATTACGAGAGCTTTCATATTTGATTAACGAAAAGGGTCTGGCCCCTATAATCAGGGATTAATAGCTCATACACGCTTTTTTCTGATAGCTAAAAATATTGGTATATTATGAAAAGGTTTGACTGAAATAATTTCGAACTTATTAAATCTTGTCATTTGATATAAAAAGAAATAAACTTCCAGCTATATTTAATTGTTTTTTTAATAAAACAAGTACATGTATGTGAGAAACCTTTCAGGAACAAGTTGTCTACTATAGCCAGCCAAGCCTTTACTGCATACATGTGCACATTTTTAGTTGATGCATCTAAAAGATATAGTTTTGATTCGGTGTTTCTTTGTTTTCTTTTTATTCAAATAACTTTAAAATGTGATGATGTACACAACAATAATTAGTACCTAGTTTAGAGGATTTTTCGCGCTTGTTTGTAAACAACGCGCGGCATTGTGGGAAATAGGAAGGTACTAAAGACGCGATGTACTAAACACTTATTTGACCTGATTCAAATTTGTCTGTAAATGTTCCAAACAATTGAAATTTTTTATAGCATATGCCTTGAAGTCATAAAGTCTGTACATAAGTAATTAAAATACTCAATATTACCATTTAATTAAAAATTAAAACGTCAGGTAAATATCAGGTCTCTAGTATATCCCGTTTTTAGTGTGCCCCTTCGAGTCGACGTCGGCCACATGTTTGCCATGGTTTACAAACTGAAAATAGAATGATTTGTGAAGTTGAACATTTTCTCACAAAGAATCCGTTTGTAGACATGTACACTCATTTAATCTGCAGCTACGAAGTACTTTGTCACTTCTCTGGAACATTATTCTAAGCAGAATTATTCCGATTCATATATTCTAAGAATCTTGTGTGAATTGTTTACGAGGAAATTCTGACTGTCACATTAACAAGGATGAACACTCTTGACTCTGCTTCGAATTCCCCAGTGATAATTGTATCGAGTGATGAAAGAGCTGACGGCGACATTTTAATGTATGATTAGCTTGGACCATTGGAATGAAGGTTAGAATATTTTTATTACTTAAAATTTACACTACTGATTACATGACAGTGACATACATTGATGTTATTAGAAATACACAGACACACCGATATATTATCTGTTTTACAGTTCAGACGCTCTCTGTTTACCTAGTAAATCCCCACAGCTTTATATTTTATTTTTTTAAATTTGAGGATGTAATTTCAACAGTCCTACTATCTATCATAGTGATCATACTCTATAATTCAAACTGCACTTAATGTTACAGAATATATTCAACTAATTATATATTGACAGTGTGACTGTAAGGGTAAGGGCAGATACTTATTTAGTTTTAATTTAGATTGTGCTTGTCAAGCCGCATTTGACATTTGGTGCATCCACGCTCAGTGTTCACACTGAGAGTTTATTCAAATGTTTAATTCGAATGAATTCACTGCTCATTAAATTACTTCCCATTAGCTCAATGTGAACATGAGTAAGGATAGCTAATTCAAATTAAATAAAAATGAATTTTGAATGTAGCTTAAACATGTTAAAGAAGCTAAGCACCGTGGGTCCAAAGTACACTGCAGAAAAATTGTGTGGAGCAATGTGCAAGTCACAATCTTCTTTTGCCAAGGTCTTATCATAAGAGCTCGCATCATGGGCTGGAATTTGTGCTGCTGTCTGGACTCGCTATAAATAGATGTTCTCAACAAGTCTTAATTATTTAATATCATACTTTACTGACAAAAAAGGACAAATATTGCTCACTTAAATTGCAAAAGAAATTTGTTTAAAAAAATTGTAATAATAGAAAGTTTGCTTTTTTGTTTGATAAGACTGCTGTAATGGTTTAATGTTTGTTTATTTGCCTTTATCATACATTTTTTAGTCATTTCATGGTGCCACCACTTGGGATGGTATTAGCTGCAAATATAGACTTGTACTCAGCACTTATTGCCTTTAAGAAGTATGAGATCCATTTTGTGCTAACACCTACCGTGACACAGAATCTTGGTTTATGCAGTCTCATAGGAGTAACCTGTCTAAAGCATTTAGCAATGGGATTGGAACCTGCGACGTAAGGTTCAGCTTCTTATTGATACTTTGATTTATAATATTTATTTGAGAATTTCACTCATTCACATACTTAGAGATGTTGATATATATTGTTGAATAGCATCAATTTAGACCTTTACTTAGCTAAGTAAACATGTACTGTGAGGTTTTTAAGGTCTCATTCATTTTATATGCCAGATGCATGTTAAGGAACATTACTGCATAAATGTTTTTGTCTTAAATTTGAAGCTCTTTACTAATATAGAGATATGTTAGTGTTAAACCTCCTCAAATTAGGGTAGACCTTTACTTTAAACTCAGCAATGTGAGTGTGTTATGTGAACTTGTGTTAGCGAGACAGTGTGTTGTATGAATTTGTGTTAGAAGACAGTGTGTTTTGTGAACTTAATTGTGTTAGCCTGACAGTGGGTTGTGTGAATTCTTGTTAGCTTGACGATGTGTTGCGTTAACTCGTGTTAGCGGGACAGCGTGTTGTGTGAAATCGTGTATAAAGTGTAAGTGTGACAGTGTGTTGTGTAAACTCGTGTTAGCTAGACAGAGTGTTGATTGAACTCGAATTAGCGAGACTTCGTGTTGTGTAAACTGGTGTTAGTGAGACTGCGTGTTGTGTAAACTCATGTTAGCGAGACTGCGTGTTGCGTAAACTCATGTTAGCGAGACAACGTGTTGTGTGAACTCTTATTAACGAGACAGCATGTTGTGTGAATTCGTGTTAGCGTGACAGTGTGTTGTGTGAACTTGTTATCCTGAAAATTTGTCGTGTGAACTGGTGTTAGACAGATAGTGTGTTGTGTGAACTCGTGTTAGCGAGATTGCATATTGTGTGAACTCGTGTTAGCCAGACTGCGTGTTATGTGAACTCGTGTTAGCGATATTGCATGTTTTTTGAATTTGTGTTAGCGTGACAGTGTGTTGTGTGAACTCGTGTTAGACATATAGTGTGTTGTGTGAACTCGTGTTAGCGAGATTGCATATTGTGTGAACTCGTGTTAGCCAGACTGTGTGTTATGTGAACTCGTGTTAGCGATATTGCATGTTTTTTGAATTTGTGTTAGCGTGACAGTGTGTTATGTGAACTCGTGTTAGCCTGACAGTGTGTTGTGTGAAATGGTATTAGGATGACAGTGTGTTGTGTGAAATGGTATTAGGATGACAGTGTGTTATCGCAACAGCGTTTGGTGCGAACTTGTGTTAGTGAATAGTGAGACAGCCTGTTTTGTGAATTCGTGTTAGCGTGACAGTGTGTTGTGTGAACTCGTGTAAGCCTGACAGTGTGTTGTGTGAAATGGTATTAGAATGACAGTGTGATGTGTGAAATGGTATGAGGATGACAGTGTGTTATCGCAACAGCATTTGGTGCGAACTTGTGTTAGTGAATAGTGAGACAGCCTGTTTTGTGACTTTATGTTAGCGTGACAGTGTATTGTGTAAACTCGTGTTAGCGTGACAGTGTATTGTGTAAACTCGTGTTAGTGAGACTGCGTGTTGTGTAAACTCATGTTAGCGTGACAGTGTGTTGTGTGAATTCATCTAAGCGTGACAGTGTGTTGCGTGTACTTGTGTTATCTAGACAGTGTGTTGTATGAACTCGTATTAGCGTGACTGCGTGTTTTGTAAAACTTGTGTTAGCAAGTCAGCGTGTTGTGTGAACTTGTGTTAGCGAGACAGCGTGTTTGTGAATTTGTGTTAGCATGATAGTGTGTTGTGTGAACTCGTGTTAGCCTGATATTTTGTTGTGTGAAATTGTATTAGCGTGACAGTGTGTTGTGTGTTAGTGTGACAGCGTGTGTTGCGAACTTGTGTTAGTGCGGAGGTGTTTATCAGTGTTGTGATGGCGAGCTGTGCGATAGCCTAATGGAGTCTTTTGTGTCGGTAAGATGGCACGCTTTTATGAAAGTGCTATTGAGCTTTAGCAAGTGGCCCTATCTGGACACGCCTTATTATAATTGATCAGTTCTCAGATATACAGTGAATTACCGGTATTATTGTCACCATGAATTCAGCATTTACAGTTGCAATTACCTAGTTAGTAATCATAAGATATTGGTTTGCGAGTTTTAAAATTATGGTGTTCCAATGATGTGAAGTTGCAGTGTGTTAGCATGTTAATTTCAACAGACTGCCACTCCAATGCAGCTTTAAACAACACGCTGCTGTGTTTACACAAAACAAAATATCATGCAAACACAACTCTAAACAATCTGTTGAGTGTTAGCTTCACTGCATGTTGGATTTAGTGTGCTGGCATATTATCACTGACGTACATGCTAGCACATTGTCACCTCGTGCTAGTATGTTGTCATAAATACTCTAGCACATTATCCTAAACCCACTAGTGCATGATTACTTTGCACTTGTATGTTGTCTTATTAGGGGATAGCATAAATGACTGCCTTAATTGGTGTAAACTTCTTTTAATTGATGAAAGAGTACATTAAAATTTACAAATTATACACAAAAAATGTGACAATATCTTATCTCTCAATTTGATAATCTAATTTATAATCTCATGAATATGCACTTTTTATTAGTAAAAGAATTATAAATTAAAAAATTTCAATTTCTTTTGGATAGGTGTGACTCATCTGAATACTGAATTTTGATACCAAGCATGACCATGATTTGCCAGAAGATCATCTGTTTGGATGTGACATGGAATAAACAGCATAGTGAAAATAAGTCAAGTTTTGGTTTGTGAAGACAATTTTTAAAGGCATATTATCTAGGGAAATACCTTTTTTTTTGGTATCGTTTTGAATCTTGTGAAATCCAAAGTTTATGATAATATTAAAAGGAATATTTTTCATACTTATCAATTTTTACTGTTATTCGTACTCTACACAAGTGAAATGTTGTTTCCTTGAATTATTGTGCAGGATGACAAAAATTCGATTTAGTCCTGCGTCTATTCATATGACCCCAAGTCTGAATGAACTCATTTGGAAAGCTTTTCGCGCATGCTCAACCCGGTAAATTAAAACAAACATGTCGGAAAACAGCACCTCTAACCGAGGAAGAAAGCGCTGTTTAACTGATTCTGCAAGAAAAAGAAATAGAGCAAGTGTATCAGCCAAATGGAAGAAAAGCAGGGTATATAGGTAACCAGTTTGAACGCTGGAATGAATTGAAAGCCATGTTGAATGTGGATACACATGCCGAAGTAGCCAGGATTTTGCTGAACAAGTAAGTCTCAGACATGTGTTTTCCTCAACGTTTGTTTGTCTTTCATTCACACGATTGTTTTAACAAAAGTGATACATATATAGAAACAAATCACAAGAT